TTTCATTTTGCCGTTAAATGACACAAGTGCATGTTAAATTTATTTATTTTTATCTTGTGTGGATAGATGTTTGCCTGCATGTGTCTGTGCACCACAAGCATCTTGGTACCCAAGGAGGCTAGAAGACGGTGCTAGGAATTGAACCCAGGACCCTTGGAAGAGCAGCCAGTGCTAACTCCTAAGCCCTTTCTTCAGGCACAAATGCATTTTAAAGTACTGTGGGCAAGAGGAAAAATCTGAAACTACACCACTGGTGTGCTAGAGCTGGTTCACACTGGCTTTATAGAGCCAACTGCTAAGTTTTCAGGAATCTTGAAAGCTAGCTGTTAAATTGCCATTACTAAAAATTACAGTTGAGAGGTGGTAGTGTGTGCCTCGGCACTTGAGATGCAGAGGCAGGCAGATCTCTGAGGCCAGTCTGGTCTACAGAATGAGTTCCGGGACAGCCAGAACTACTGTCATACAGAGAAACCCTGTCTCAAAAAACCAAATAAATAAATTGTATGACCTTACAATTAGCAAAGGCACTCAAAAATCTCACCCTAATCATTTCACCTCTTACTACTGTCTATGCACACAAGGTTATTTTCATCTATGGTGTCTCTACAGGGGAGGGTCTAGAAAATGGCACACTGTACATCTCTTCCCAATTCTCATTCAGTAAGATCACCTTGAAGAGGTGAAGTCAGCCATGGTGAGAGCATTTGCATCATGCAGACTGGCAAAGGGCTTCTGTATTTAGGAGCCGAGTAACATGCCTTCAGTCACATACCACTGAACCAACCACTGGCCCATGAAAACATTTAAGGTGTGAAGAAACTTCTACTTGAAACATAGGCTTAAAAAGCACAGAAATGAGTCTTTAGGGAATCATTCTCAAAAGAATGTAGACTGAAGCTGGCTGTTTTCTTCCTCAGCTGAAAGCTACAATTATTCTACAAACATGACTTTCACTACACCACAAATATTGGTGGCCAAAGTGTTCATAACATCAACCAAGTGAAAAACCTGTATACCATTACACACAAAAACAAATGTGTTCACTGGCTTGACTGAATTACATTATTAGGGCTTGGTTCCTTTCTTCTCTCACTGCCAAACTTATGCCAAGGTAGCTTGTGCTCAATTTGTTGATTTATCCCGTTAGCTAGTCTTGGCTCCTGCCTCCATCATGATTGAAAATACTTTAGGGTAACCACTGTCATTCTAATGTGTGCTTTCTAGTTCTTAGTTCTAAGGCCTCTCTAGTTTGCTTCTGCCTCTACTAGACTTCATTGGTAGACCCTCCACCCTAGACCCAGCCTTGGCAAGTGTGGGGATCTTCAGTGCTATGTGAGCATTTGCTCTCTTAGTGGCCTAAGTTTTAGTCTCTGTCACATTGGGCACATCTCCTCTTTCCTGGATGCCTGTTTTCTCTGGCATGAAAAGATGAATTTCGTGGCCTCCTCCTTCATTTTGGGAAGAAGTCACCATTAAAACCTCTTCTCTCAGCATTAGTGGACACATCCATGCTATTACCATCAGGCAAAGGTGGCTTTTCATCCTCTTTGGTCCTTGGGTTGAAGCACCAAATATTCCATTGCCTGTTGTTCTTGGCTCTGGGCCAGGAAGTGTGACCTTGAGGAAGTGACATTTCCACCTTCCCAACTTACACAACTGGAATGAGTGAGAGCCACACAAGACAAACCAGTAAGTGCTCAGGGTGCCTGTGACATCTGTCAGCTGCAGGTACATTCCTATACTGGAGTGGCACGTACTTTATCTTCATAATGTCTTTCCCCTAGAGTTGATCTCCTTCAACTCCTTAATCATTTCTGCTGCTTGTATTGAATTCCCTCAAGTCTAGAATTCTTTTTTTCTGAGTGCAGAAATCAGCAAACAGTACTGCAGATGTCACTTCCTCCTCTAGCATTAGACAGGATTTGCAGAGGGGAGCACTCATTTTGCTGATGGCTTAAAGATCGCATCAGTCAACAATATTCAAGTTCTGTTCTCATCTGGAGGACAGAGCTTCTGGTTTTCCCAGCTCATTATCCCAAAGACTGATCTTCCTACATCTGATTTTCGCTCACTATATCCAGGAGGCATCCACCTAACGGGTCAAAGGGACCCACAGTGGCGCAGTCACCTCTGAAATTAAAACAAAACAAAACAAAACAAAAAAAAAACAAAACAAAAACAGGAAGGTACAGCTACCTTGTGCATACAAGCACACAGTAGACCAACAATACTTACCTGAATGCTAGATTAGTCAGCCAGCCATCAGAAATGAATCTAAATCGTGGAGGGCAGAGTGCGATGAAAAGTCATGAGACAAAGGAAACACACAGGGTCCAGGCTGATTACAAAGATAATTAGTTGTGGAAAATAAGGTTGGGTCCCAGCCAAGAATTTGTCTTTAACAAAGGTATACTAAAAGATCCACTAAAGATCCATGCTGCATCTTGATTTAGTAGTTCTTTTATAGGAGTTGAAGGGCCAGAACAAAGCACCAGTTGGTTTCAAGAGCAGCTCCAGCCCTCTCCCCAGTTTGTTTGCCATATAGAAGAAGCTGTTTTCCCTTCGTCTGCACAGGCTCATCCAATATGGTGGTCCCATAACAGGCAGAAGCACATTTTAAAAGGGACTCTCAGAACACTGGTCCAGCCAGAGATCTTCTGGCCCGTTGTAGGATCTTCATGTTCCTGGCTGGAATTAAAAAAGAAAAGCAAAGCAGCAGTAGCTCTCTGAGAGCTCAAGGCCAGCAGCCTTATCAGTGAAAAGGGAAAGAGGGACATTTCTTTCCTAAATTGTTCAAACCTATAAAGGTCTCCATGCTGCCTGATCACGACAGACAGGTTTAATCTCCATGTAGAAAATGGGAAATCTCCCTGCCCCCCATGGATGGCCAGAGATGAGGCAGGGGCTGACCACAGGGAGGTGGGGAGACAGGGACACTGCCAGATATTCTATTTGGCCCCCAAACTGCAACTCTAAAGGTTCTGTGGAACTACTTGCCTGAAATATTGTTTTGATAAATAAGCCATATCCTTGTGGAATTGCAATCTCCAACTGTTCCACTGGCACGGACATCTCTGCAGTGACAGCACATGCCCCAGATTGTGGAGTTAACTTGAATTAAATTTCAGATGTGGGGGAGCTAAGGGAAGAGGTGGTGGCAGTGGGAGGTTTATGAACAGTATGCTGGGGCTCTGATGTTGTCATAACCAGATGGCTTCAACTGTATCATTTAAACAAAAACAAACATGGCCAGAAATAATATAATACCAGGAGAAGCGTTGAGCAGCTTCATCTATACCTGAAATTCTATCAGTTTTCAATCCATAGCAAAGTCCACAATGGAGATTCTACAAGTATGGAAAATCCCAGAAGAGACCTTTATCTTGCCAAAGCCAGATGTCAGGCCAGCTCCCTTCCTGAGAGCACATGCTCCAAGTCCTCCACCCTCAAGCCCAGAGCTGTGAGTGAAGTTCAGGAAAGCAAATCTGCTTCACCCTGCTGGAAGCTCCGAAGAACAGGCCAGTAGAGGCACCTTTCTGGAGCTTTGTTCTTTCTATTCCCAGAGGAAGCAAGCTTCACTTCCAATTTTGTACCTAAGCACTCCAGAAATGGAACTTCCTCCACTCCTTATGTAATCTTCGGGATATGACATTAGCGGATCTGGTACTCAGTACTTGTGTGACCTTAGTTAGGCATACGCCTTCCTCCAGTTTCACCTTTTCCAGCTACAGACCAACACTACCTGTCACCTGACCAACCAAACTCATCGAGATGTTGAGATGTTCAAAAGGACACTACAGATGAAGGTCTGCCGAGAACTGAGGGCTGCAGAATAAACACAGAGGCAGTATGGGTAAAGGTGATGTTGTGCCTACTGGATCACTAGGTCTATGAACCAGTTCGGAAAGTGGGAGCCAAGTGGTCAGCAGCCAGAACACAGGGGACCAGACACTTCCTTACACAGGCCACACTTGGGAGGAAACTAGGAAGAGCCATGGAATGCAATAACAAATCCCACTTATGAAAGGAACTTTCGCTAGCCCACACATACCTAGCCTAGTAGTAGGTACACAATGAAAACCAGAAAATTTGCACAGAGCAGTCACTGAAATGAAATGTGAAAAGGGCTGAGGTTTCATTTAAGGTTAAATAATGCAACCTTAGCCAAACAATGTATTTCTAGTGTGTTCCACTGTCTGACCAGTGCTGTGGAGCTGGGAGCCCCAGGCATTCTTGTGAGCTCACTGTAAGACCTTAGTTTCCCCAGAAACACATCAGTCAATGACAGGACCCATCAGAGAACAACAATTTCCCTTTATTTAATCTCCATATTCATGTCCCCTAAATATGTTTTCTTGTATTTTGTTAGGAGAAAGAAGATTGGGGATTAGATATTAACACACACAGGGTGCAGAAAAAGCCCACTACAATTGCTTGCTTTGGCAGAGTAGGACCTGGTCCCAGTCTCTCATCAGGACATGGTTGGCAGATACTCAAGGAGGACAAAACTGGCAGATGTTCAAAGGAAACTTGAGATTATGGAGAATAAATAAATCCCTACTGCTTCTTGGACATTTCAGATGTAATCCCTGAAAGATGAAGATAAAACCAGGGCTTCAGAACCACATAAGCAAGAAACTCAGACCCAAGAGATAAGCCAGGTGAGTGAAACAAAAGACCAGAGATACCACACAGTACAAAATAGTAATTATTTATATTTTCAAAAAGAAAAAATTAACATTTGGAAGTCTCCCCTTTGGAGGAGGGGCTAATCAGAAGTGACAGGACTGGCTCCTGTGCAGGCGACAAGTCAGGTACAAACAGCCAGGCCATCTGGGCTGGGATTTTTTTTTCACATAGCAATAATAATAAATTTTCTTTTTCTCTTCTTTTTGTTTTATGTATTTTCTGGATTTGTTTCTTCTTCTTTTTAATTTTTTTAGAAAAAGGGAGGGGGAAGGGAAGAAAAAATAAAATCAGAGAAAAATGCAAAAAAAAAAAAAAAAAAAAAAAAAAAAAAAAAAAAACCAAAACAAAACCATTTTCCACGATACCTAAAAACAGAACTATAGTTCTTGTCAAGACAGTATGAATTCTGGATGAATTATTTTTCCAGTTTTCAACACCAATAAAGATTTTTGCAAAAGCCACTACCATCAAAACACTCATCTTGCAGATCAAATAACTCCTTCCCCCTTTGCCTTCGTGTGTCACTTTTCATAACAGGATAAAAGGATGGGCTCTGTTCTTGCAAGCAGTAAGTGCGAATGAGAGAGCTCTTCTGATACGTGTACGGTAGTGAGGAGTTTTCACAAATATCCAAGGCTTAGCACAGTTGGAAGGACTAAAATTTGCTTCTTTCAACATAAATACTACTGGAATCCACAAACTGATTTTTGAAAAAAATTCTTTCTTCTTTCCTTTTCCCTTCTCTTAAAACTAAATGTCCATTTTTTTTTCCTTTTTGCTCCAGGCACCTGACGATTTGTTCTGCTCAGTCAGATGCAGGCAGGTTCCTCCGAAGTAGCACTGCTGGGATGTGCTTGGGGCCAGCGCCTAAATTGAATCCCAGTGTCAAACTTGGTCAGGCCAAAGGGAACACGGTGACACGGCAACAGGGTTTTCATTAGGTTGAGCAGCCCCAAGTCCTGGGCCCTTCCCTCCCCCCCATTCCCCTAAGTTATTTAGTGCTGTTTTAAAGTCTGGGTCATGGTGCAGTCTTTCCCCTGACACAGAGTAAAAGCTCCACAGATTGCGCTGTCTACCTGGTGGTCATTGGCAGCAACGGTGGTTGCTGCTTCCCGAAAATAAATGAAGTCTCACAACTGGCAGGATCTTAGGACTGCTTCAGGCGTTTTCTTGGGGGCCCCAGGAAAGGGCACTGTGCTGAAGCCAGAGAACGATACGCTTCAGCCACTAAGTGGGGATGTGACACCACCATTGACTTCCACCCAGAGGTCTCCAAGACATCCGAAGCATGACTAGGAGAAATGTGGAGAGAGAGGTTATTGGAGTGTGCACACAGACCAAACAGCTACCTAAAGAGCCCACTTTTTCAGTGTTTGGTGTAGAAAGTGTAAATGCAATCAACACTATCCAGACAGAACCCTTAACATGCATCAGAATGTGCTTGCTGGCCAATGTGCAGACCAGTGCCTGGGCTGTGGCTCTTCTAATTCCCCAAATTTGGACTCTAAGGTTGTTTATCAGACTCAACATTGTTGATATTTATACCCACAGACACTGACACAGAGAAAGAATAAGGGCTTCCTTAGATATCCAGCTCTGAGCTCCCACCTGGTGTTGCCATTTACTAGTTAACCACAAGGCATATCACAGGCAGGGCCTATCTGATGGTCAAAAAAGAGAAGATAATAGCCACTCTTTGCTTAATGGTTGAGGTACCTTCTAAAAAGTAACAAGCACATACTGAACATATAGTGAGCCCCTGGACAGAACTGACACTTACTGGTCCTTCCCTTCCCCTTCTGTCTCAGGCTAACACCTTAGAAACAATCATGTAACTAGACCGAGAGGACACTATTTCCCACATTTGGGTATTTTCTGTATTAAAATTGTTCACTCATCTACCTGAACATCTTAGTCTTAATTCCAACTTGCTATTGTGAGGACTTTTTTCCCCTCCAAATCTTGCTTCCCATCAGACAAGGGAATAACAGAGTATGTCCCAGAGAGAAGGACTATAGCCTCCTTCTCAGTTCTGTACAATGTGTCACTTGAGTGAAGTAACAGATCTGGTAGACTGTTTCCTTTTCAAAATAATCTTTAACAATCAGTTACTGTCCATATCCTTTCTTTCCCTGAGCCCACCAGAGACTATAAAACATATTTTACTAACTCATAAAAATGAACCTCTGCTCTCCTGGAATCTATCTTTTATTTGCCAGTGAAAGTAAAGTGAGGTTGCTGTCATTTAGGGCACACAGCTTTTCCAGGCGAGCAAGTTATCGCTTCTCAGCTCCACCACTGTTTGGAATTAAGGGGCTTCACTCCTGACCAGGACCTGATCCATGCAAGCAAAACCATTTTCATACTGTTGAGCTGAACAGAAAGATGAAAATTCTCTACTTACTACCAAAAGGTTAATGAAGCTACTTTCTCACTTTACTCACTAATTCAAAGTCTCTCTTATTACTTTATCCCAATTATTCTGAGAGAAGAACTTTGAAGATGCTACTCACTAGTTGATGAAATCTACTGCCTGAGTTTTCAGTTGATCTGCGCTGTGGAGGTCAGCCAGGATGAGAATTTCTGCAGCATTCTCCACGGAGAGGTTACTGCAGAGGGCATCCTCACACATGACCTTCAAGCGCTCCAGGGCATACTGTAAAGCAAGCAGCACTGTCATCCAGCAGCAATCACTCAGGGCTGACCACTCCTGAAGTTGTTCTTTAGTGGCACTGCTGAACAACTGGATATCTGAACAGAATTGCAGAGTGCAGGAAAGGCCACCACCAGTTATAAAACACAACCACACTCTGAAGGCTAGCTGTTTAAGCTTGAAACAAAGACAACTGTAATAAGGTGGGTAGCATCTATCAAATTCCAAAGTTTACCTGCTAGAAAATGGCAATCAGAGCAGCTTTTCATCCCAAAGCTCACTGTATCACCTGTCTTTCTTAAACAAACCCCACCTACCTGACAATGAGGCATTAGCCAGCTGCAAGCCAGCAGAACCTAACATTACAACTTCTGCTGTCCTACTACTTACAGCTGACTGAGCAAAAGCACAGCTCACAGCTCTTTTTGCCTAAGCATTGTCACTACCCTGGCAAGATACCCCAAATGACCCATCAGGCTGTGAAAAGGGACCTGTGATGGTTTTCACCAACATCTCTGCCACACATTGTTTCTGAGCAAGGGTGAACCAAGGGCTTCTTTGAAATAGGAAAAGATAAATCAAGTCCTATTTTACTGGGGCTGAGGATAAGATTTTCAGGGTAAAAGGACAAAGCAGCAGAAACCCTGGTTCCAGTTTCAATACTTTTATTTTCTAAACAAACATCTGGAAAGGGAAGGTCTAAGTTAATGCTGGGCACACTAATCCAGCTGATTAGGTCTGATGCCAACCTGCTACCTGCTCTAATACAGCATGAACTTACTGAAGAATAAAGAAGGCATGAAGCAAAATGTCATTAATTACTTCGAAGGAGAAGCATTTGCTAGGAGGCTTTCCAGGCTCTCTATAGGGCCTTGACCTTCAGGCCTCAGAATTCGATGACACAATGTCCCTCCAGGCTGAACCATGGCAATCAAACCAAGACAATTTTATTATACATTTCAGGCAAGGAGGTATACCTGCTAGCACTGTGATCTCCTGGAGCCAAAAGAAGCTTTATTGGTTTTGGTGCTGCTTTAATTTCTTACATTTGAGTAACTGGAAAACAGTTTCCATGGCAAAGGGGAATGACACTAACTAGACAAGCAAGAAATGAGGGTGCTGGAAAAGTTGAGTAGATGCTCTGTCTCTCTGCAGTGCTACTAGACCGTTCTTCTACCCTCCTTTACACACTCTTTTAAAAGGAGTCTGCTGTGAATAGCTCTGATCCCGCCTGCATAATTAGACGAAAGTAGCCACTCTTGTCTCTTGGGGGACAAAGTTTTTTTCTTAATTATGCTTCTGAAAACCCTGCCTAATGGCAGTACTTACTCAGGAGATTGAAACTGTGTCTCCCAGGCCTGGCCAGTGTGTTTTGTTTTGTTTTTGGTCTAATTACACATGTCCCCAGGAGACTGGAAAGGCTCAGAAGAAGCTGTTTCAGCCTCCAGGGTAAATTCTAGATGTTTAGATCCTTCCATGAAAGATTTTTTTACTGTTTTCCTAAACTCATAGCAATGTGTAAAGGTAAAGCATGCTTTCAAATAGGCTTGGAGCAGTGGGATTTGAAAATGCACGAATTGGTTACCCCCCCCCCCATCTCCCTCTATTTTCCTGAGAGGTTTCTCTGTGTAGCCCTTGCTGTCCTAGAACTCACTCTGTAGACCAGGCTGTCCTGGAACTCAGAGATCTGCCTGCCTTTGCCTCCTGAGTGCTGGGATTGAGGCATGTACCACCACTGCCCAGCAACTTCTCATTCATAAATCTGTAGAACTGTTGGAATTCAACTACTTTCTTTTTTAGAATCAGAAAGAAACATGCTACATTGAAACCACCACCCAAGTGACATTTCAGGCTAATTCCCATGTTCCATGCCCCATGCCCCATGCCCCAAAGGTCACCAGAAGCTTTTTGGCTAATAAAAACCCAGAGACAGAGAAGTTTTTAACTTTGGCTCTAAAAATGTATAAATTTAAACTTCAGTGTTTCTGTCTAAAATGTGGGGGCTCCACAGTACTCATCATTCTTACAGGACCTCAACGACAAGAGAATAATGATCTGAGGTATATAAGCACAAGTGACCATTTCATTGAAAACCAGAGGCAGATCAGACAGAACCATAGCAACTCTATGAAAGTGGACTTGGGCCATGCTTGGGTACACACAACTAAACCCATACTCAGGAACTAAGCAAGGTAACTGTGAGGTCAAAACCAGCTGGGAGCTATAGAGCAAACCTCTGCCTCAAAATAAACAAACAAACAAAAAAAAATGAGCATTGGATTGTGCTAATCTTACCTTTCTTTTTTTTTTTTTGAGATTTTATTTATTTATTATGTGTACAACATTCTGCATCCATGTATATCTGCACCCCAGAAGAGGGCACCAGATCTCATAACGGATGGTTGTGAGCCACCATGTGGGTGCTGGGAATTGAACTCAGGTCCTCTGGAAGAGCAGTCAGTGCTCTTAACCTCTGAGCCATCTCTCCAGCACCGGAGGATACTTTCTTACTATCCTATTGAAACCAAGTTTCTCCTAATCAGAAATGAAGTTGGCTAGAAGGGTGTGGAGTTTTCATGTTGCCAACTACTAATCAAGTCTCAAAAGGTGATAACAAGAATAGTTATTATTCCAATCTTCATCAAGAGCAACGATTAGGTCTATATGCCTCTCATTCATTAATACTCCAAAATGCTGATCAACACAGACAAAACCACTAGGCACCCTCCTTTGTCCTCAGACACAAAAGGAGGTATAAGGAGGAGGAGACATTCTCCAGGGCAAAACCTGGAAACTCTTAGCTAGAGTTGCTTTTCCTCAGGAAAGTGCTGGAACTCAAACACAACTGGAAGAAGCAGCACCCCCAGCAAGTATCCGCTTTCCACAAGGTCTACTGCTGGCAGCTTAAGTAAGCCCTTTAACTCTCCTGCCTCATACACAGGGAGCACTTCTACAGGGCAATTATCAATCTTCCTGCCCATCTCACAAGTGCTGTCTGCCCAGGTCCCAGGACATAGGCAGTCAGCCTCTGGGCTCCAGCTGATGTGCCTCTACGATGAAGTCAGTTCCCAGTGTGTTCTGAGGTCCTCTAATTGGAAGTAATCCTTGAGAAAAATGCTTCTAGGATCAACTAAGTTGGAGGAATGCTGTCTATTTACTTACTTTCAGAAAACTATCTGTAAACCAAGTGTGATGGCCCTCACCTTTAAATCCCAGCCAGCACTTGGGAGGCAGAGGCAGGAGGATGTCTGTGATTTAGAGACCAGCCTTGTAAATATAGTGAATTCCAAGTCAGGCACATGTTGGTGGCACATGCCTTTAATCCCAGCACTCGGGAGGCAGAGGCAGGCGGATCTTTGTGAGTTCGAGGCCAGCCTGGTCTACAGTTCGACTGCCAGGATAGGCTCCAAAGCTACACAGAGAAACCGTCTCAAAAAACAAACAAACAAAAAAATATAGTGAATTCCAAGCCAGCCAGAGTTGCATAGAGAGACTCAGTTTCAAGGAGGGAAGACAAGGAAAGAGAACAAAACTTTCAATGCACATTAAGAAGCTCTAGATTCTGAGGAATCCTGCAGGAAAATGGTTCAGTAACCAGATGCTCATAAAAGATTTTCCCTCCACCCTCTCATTTGTTTTGAGACAGGGTTTCTTTGCATAGCCTTGTCTGCCTTGGAACCAGCTCTGTAGACCAGGCTGGCCTCAAACTCACAACAATCTGCTTGCCTCTGTAAAGGCATGTGCTACCACTGCCCGGGTATTTTCTCTCTTTAAAATTACATTTATTTGGGGGGGGGGAGAAGAAGACAAAACAAAACAAAACAAAACCAGGCAGTGATGGTGCATCACTTTAATCCCAGCACTTGGGAGGCAGAGGCAGGCGGATCTCTTTTGAATTTGAAGCCAACCTGATCTACAGAGCGAGTTCTAGAACAGCCAGGGCAACACAGAGAAACTATCTTGAAAAAACAGACCAAAAAAATCACATCTATTTATTTATTTTATATGTGTGGAGCATATGTGTGGAGGTCAGAGGACAACTTGTAAGCATCAGTTCCTACACTCTGTGAGTTCTGGGAATTGAATTCAGATCAGATCCTCAGGCAAAGCACCTTTGTCCACTGAGCTACCCCATAGGCCCAAGACTATATAGTGTTTGGTTTTTTTTAATAGGTTTGACTAAGTAAATGAAGTAAGAAATGTCCTAAAAATTATAAAGTACAGCCCAAATGTTAGCATTGCCTGAATCTTTCTTGATAGGGTTAAATTTAGGATAAAATAAAAAGAGGGGTGAATATCAAACATACCCTTCTATACCATAGTTAGGGTGAACTGGATAGCTTACCATTTAGAATGTGACACCTTTAGTATAAAAAGGTTACTACTGTGTTAGGACAACATGTATGAATAAGATTGTCCTGCCTAATTAAGATGTATGTATGCTCATTTTATCCATGATACAGCACATAAGCCCTTTCACAAAACTGAAGAGGTCACAGTAACACCTGGTCCTATCATTATTTTCCTGTTCTTTCTTGTCTTACCTTGTCAGCAGCTGCCAGCAAATCATCAGCCATTTTGTCAAGGTTTGGCGCCTTCCCCGTGTAAATGAAGCACATCATTTCCTTAAAAACTTCAGGCTCCACATCGTTAATCTCAACCCGATTCTATGCCAGAAAAGTCAAAAAAAAGGAGAAACTTTCCAAGAGAACAAAATTCCTAAACTATATTCATGATTTTAAGTTTGGTAAGGAAAAAAGCTTGTTTTCAGTTAAAGCCTAACATGGATAGAAAATACCTCCTCACTATTCTCTCTCATGATTGTTAACTATAATAGCCTTCCCATCACTGTATACTACCTTTGTTTTATTTTCTCAAAGACAGTAGCAAAACAACTACGCGCGCGCACGCGCGCGTGTGTGTATGTGTGTGTGTGTGTGTGTGTGCGTGTGCGTGTTTTAATCTGGGGACTTTCTAGTGTCTTTAACCCAAACCACTGAGGTGATCTGCTGAACAGTAAGTCCACTTCACCTGGGACCTGGACCTGCTCTCAGAAGGGGTATGTTTAAGAAACTAATTTAATAACATGGCAAGAAAAAGATAGTTAGGAAGATAAATCTGCCAGACAGGGAAAGATCTGACTGTAATCACTGGGTTAAAAAGATGCATGTCCATCCTGTTACATACCTTTTTGCTCTCCTCCATTTCATGTTCAAACATGGCACTGAAAACTGGAGACCGAGCTACAAAGTGAGAGGGAAACAAGGAAGTTTATCACAAGGGAACTGCTCGATTATCCCAGTAACAATGATGACCTTTGTTCTTCCCGTCTCATTTCCAAGGAAACGCTATTGGCCTCAAATCACATCAGAATTATAAAACGTACATTTTCAAAACATTTCTTTGGCTCTATTTTAATCATCCACATTTTAAGCAAATTATTTATCTGTGTTGGACAACAATGGTATATACATTACTTGTGTAGACTTTGAAGTTCAAATGGAAGGTACTTCATGGTCAGGGTATTCTAATATCTGGACTTTTGGCTAGAACAACTGAATGGCACCCTCTATAAAGACCATACAGGTAGAAGGTCAAGAGCTGGGCTCAATGGCATGCACTAGCTTGATAATGAACATTTATGGCAAACTGTTCTTCCAGCTATATGTTCCCAGTGAAGTTGCTATCATCCCCAACACCCTGAAAGAGCCTTAGATGATATAATGGTTTATGGCCCTTCAAAGCTCTTTTCTGTTTGGTAAAACCATCTTTCTTAACATTTAATTTCTTTCATCGCAGAGAATTCAGTTTTCCTCATTAGAAATGGGAATGAAGAAAAAAAGGCCAAGAAACAGTGCTGTGGCCCATGTACTTTCTATGAACATCCATGAACACCATACATACACACAAAAAACAAGTAAACTTAATTTCAACCATGAAAAGTAATAGAGAACTCAATTTTTTTCATGTTGCTGAATAAATCAGGGGTTGGGGTCAAAGTTGAAATTCAAAACCTAGTACCTAAAAATGGAAGGACAGATAGAGAGTGGAAAGAAAGTGGCAGAGACCTAGAACTTTTGGTTTGTACTTTACATCAGAAAGAACTAATTTTAACTCTGCCATTTTCTAACAATTTTCTTGGTAAAATCATTTAACCCTCTGATCATTTACCCTTGCTTCTCCTGCACACACACACACACACACACACACAACCTTTTAAAAAATTTATAAATAAACCAGGCATAGTGGCACATACCTATAAGGCAGGAGAATTCTGAGTTTGAGGTCAGTCTGGGTTACTTAGCAGAAATTTCTCCCCACTTTTTAGGATTTTAAACATGAACTTCAGTATTTTAATCTATTTCTATTTCAGAAGGTTATTTATTCCCAGGGTCTTATCTCAGAAGAGTTACAGACTATATGGTGCTCAGGGACTGGTGCTTACTACAAACGGAAGGGCCCACAGCAGCAGGTGGGGCTTAGAAAGTCATCAGTAGGCAGACCGCAGCTGATACAATGGAACACAATTCCCAACAAGAATAGCAGGCATAATGAAGCAGACTCTTAGGCAGATGTTTGAAGGAATAGGTGAAGAGGAGAAAGGGAAGGCACCCAGGAGAAATAGCTGGAGCAAGCATGAGATACAGCTCAGCAATGGAATGCTTGCTGAGCACTCCATATGTGGGGCCTAGGGTTCCACACCCTGAATCATAAGGGGAAAGAACAAGGTAGTCAAAGAACCAGGAGAAAACTGGAGCTCCAAGTCAACTAGTGTATGATCTGCAGCCTCTCAAACTTAGGAACTAGCAGGTAGTTCACATAACTTCAGAAAATTGCTTTCCTGGCAAGGAGGTGAACTGAGGACAATGTGGGGATAGGAAGTAGACAGCAAATGTGCTACCTCAAGAAATTTAGCTCAGAGTATGTGGGGAGAAAGAGCAGGTACACCAAGAGAACGAGGTTTCTAGGAAGACAGGGTGAGATTCAGAGAGCAGAAGTATACTAAACAATCCATTCTGCAGTTGAGGGATACCTCCTTGCCCCTGAGAAGGCAGCTAAGGGAACAGTAGTCAAGGGTGTTCCTACAAAAAGGCCTCTTGGAAGGAAATGTGGGCAAAGGCATTCTTTAGGGGTTGGAGGAGGTTAGAAGGGAATGGCAGAAGTTTGAAACATCTACTGTTGGGGAAAAAAAGGAAGCTGACTGAATCTACAGAAAGATGCACAGGGGGTGGGGAAGCTGACAAAGTGCTTGCTGTACAAAGCATGAGGACCTGCTTGGATCCCTAGTACCCACTTAAAAGCCAGGAGTGCATCTGTGACACCAGCACTGGGTGAAGTCATGGGAGGGACACAGTGGACGCCTGGACCTCACTGGTCAGTCTGCCCAGTAAAAATGGTGAGTTCCAGGCCACAGAGAGACCCTATCTCAAAAAGTAAGGCAGAGAGCAACAGAAGAAGACATTCAACCTCTGGCCTCTGTACGTATACTTGTTTTTTGTTTGGTTTCTTTTTTGTTTTTTTTTTTTTTTGTTTTTTCGAGACAGGGTTTCTCTGTATTGTTTTGGAGCCTGTCCTGGAACTCACTCTGTAGACCAAGCTGGCCTCGAACTCACAGAGATCCTCCTGCCTCTGCCTCCCGAGTGCTGGGATTAAAGGTGTGTGCCACCAACGCCCAGCTGTACGTATACTTATAATGTACTTGCATAGACATGTGCAAAAACATGCTTGTACCACACACACAAACATTAAAAAAAAAAAGAGGGGAAGGAGGGAGGGAAGGGGGAGGGAGGGAGGGAGGGAGGGAAGAAGGGAGGGAGGAAGGGGGAAAAGAAAGAAGCATGTTGAGGGCCTCACTGTACAGGCAGACACTAGTCTTGAGTTACTCACTTCCTTCAGCATTGACAAAAATACTTAGTTGAGGCAGAGAATGGGAAGTGGTCACATTAGACAGCTTGAGCTAATCTCAAGTGTGAACCTTAGAATGATGGAGCTGAGATGTCTCAACAGAGGAGTCTTGGGAAGAAGTATGTTACTTGGAGAGTCACACAATACTCTGTTCTGCAGAGCACTGTGTAGCTATGGCTCCCCTTTCTATAAGGTGATGTCGGCCCTCTCCCAGTTTCTCCTCTGGGTGAGTCTGGTCTTAAAGATCAAGGACCTTATAGAACAAGACCTGATCCTCTGGGTCAGTAGCAACAGTCTCATTCTTCTTGTATGTTTATAGTGAAGAGACAACTTAGCCAGTGAGGCTTAGGTCTCAGCATAAGTCCCTTGACCAGAACCCTCCCCACTGCATCCATAGGCCAACAAGGACCTACCACTTGCTCTCAGGTACTCTGAGACCTATTTTCCTAGTGCAAAGCTATGCAATACTTTTGTGTAACTATCATTTATACTTTGAAAATGGTAGCCTAAGAATCCATTCTTGAGACAAACCAGAAATGCTATTTTTATGGAAAGTAACTTTTTTGGTTATAAGAACTGTCTTCAGAATATAAAAATACAGTCCAGGTATGGTGGCATATGCCTATTATGCCACCATACTGAGGGTAGAAGTAGGGTTAGGACTGAAAGTTTGAGGACAGTCTGTGCTAACATAGCAAGTTCCAGGTCAGCCTAAGCTACAAAGTAAGACCAAAATGGAAATGAACTTTGAAAATGTATTTTAGGTGCAGAGTTCAAAAGTTGAAGTTCTTCCAAAGGCAATTTTGCAGCCTCTATTTTTCCTATCACCTCAAAATTATAAAGTGAACCATGAATAAATACCAACCTGCTAGGATAGCCTTGTGAGCCTGGAATTCTTGGCCAGCCACACACAAGCAGCAGTCTGTGAATCGAGAATTCTCCCACAACCCTCCTAACTCATCGGCCAGCCGGCATTCAGGAACCTTTACCATATTCATGGTATTCTGTCCAGAAATATTGACAGAATCTTGTACTACGCTCACCTGTGGAATATGAGGAGACAGAAACACAGCTTTTATTGCCAGCAGTCTGGAGAGAGGTATTCTGTTACAGTGCTACATAAGATCTAGATACCACATTTTCGTATTTTCTTGGCACCACCTCCATAAATCATGACATCCTCCTTTGGCTCAATTTCCCCATTTATTATAATAACTTTGGGGGGGGGGTTGAGACAGGGTTTCTCTGTGGCTTTGAAGCCTGTCCTGGAACTAGCTCTTGTAGACCAGGCTGGCCTTGAACTCACAGAGATCCGCCTGCCTCTGCCTCCCGAGTGCTGGGATTAAAGGCGTGCGCCATCAATCCCAGGCCCCTAATCACATTTCTTTTATACCACACTGTAGGACAATGACAGTTTCACAAAGTAAGTTCTTCTCCAGTTTCAAATAAGTTCACTCTCCTTGCAAACCCAAGCACAGCTACTAAGGAGAACCTGACAGGAACAAATGCTTAATTTCAAGTATTCCTCTTACCTGCCTTAAAAGAAAGGTTATACACAAAGAACTGCTATATAAATCACCGTCTTAGGGTTTCTATTGCTATGAAGAGTCATCATGACCCTCTTACAAAGGAAAACATTTAATTGAGGTGGCTTATAGTTCAGAGGTTCAGTCCATTATCATCATGGCGGGGCGTGGCAGTGTGCAAGTAGACATGGTGCTGGAGAAGGAGCTCAGAGTCCTTCATCTTATAGACAACAGGAAGTGATCTGTCTCACTGGGTGTTGCTTGAACATATGCGATCTTAGAGCCCACCTCCATGGTGACACACTTCTCTCAACAAGACCAAACCTACACTTCCTAATAGTGCCACTCCCTTTGGGGGCCTTTTTTTTTTTTTTTTTTTTGAAACAATCACATTCACCATATAAAATTCTCTAGAGAATTCTAGTAACTTAAACATTTCACTTATTTTAGTTAGGTCAGGAAACAGATAAAGTGTAGTTTCTATAGGGCTTGGTAAGTAGCTGGCATTTCTCAAAGACATTTGACTAATGAACATGATGGCCCACTATCCCTAAGGATTGAACCAGGAAGGTGTTCCAGTAGGGATAACTGGGTAAGTATACCATAAGTTTTACACCTGAATTCAGTCATCTGTGACAATGACATTCAAGATAACTGGCTGCAGCTTACACATGTGTTTAATACTCATGGAACAGAAGGACAATGCCAATCGTATGGAAGGCTCCAACTTCCCACTCTGGCTTCAGTAGCATGTTTCAACTAGTTGAATTAATTCAACCTAGATAGGAACCAAGCTAATATTTTAGATGGGTTAGTGAAAGTCAGTTGTTAGGATAACAATTATAAGGATTTATAAATCACATTAACATTATAAAATATGCTAGTCATTAAACAAAAAATAACATCCTACAAAGCAGTTATGCACCCAACAACTACTGCGTTTTATTTCCTACAACACATCATGTTAGAAAAGTTAAGTTAAAGCAGAACTCAAGCCTTGAGAATTAACTCCCTGCTCTTCCACTGCTAAGAATCTGATGAGAAAGACAATTTAAGAACATCCTTGATGACCCAGATTTCTTTTGACCTTCAAGATGCAAGTCATCCTTTAGCTGTAGTCATAAACCCAGAGGCAAAGTTAATGCTTGATCCAAATGACCTATAATCCCTTCTGTATAAGAGTGAGATATTTACTACCAGGTCAAGAAACTTATTCATTTGTTTAAAACTGTTATGATCTTGCATAAGGAGGCAGTCAAGTTAATCAATTATGAATGTGCTCAGCATTAGAGCACATTTATCAGGGACAGATTATAACAATATTTTAATAACCTAGGACCCAGCAAAAACCACCCACAGAGATCCTCTCCTGTTCTTTGTAAGATTTCTAATTTGGTTCAACCATGTGCTCATAGTAGCATCCTCATTTCTTTGATATAATATTAACACTAAAAGTTAAAGTTGTCTGTTCCCAGCTATAGTTCTAAATACTGATTTAAAAAAATAAATCCAGCTTCCTCATAGGGAAAGGCAGGGATCCCCAGGGATGGCCAATGTCGAGAATGGAGAAAGCTTTTGGCACTATGTTTCCAGTTTGAATTAAACCAGGCTGACAGGAGCCCAAAATCATTAACACTTAATAGCAATTGAGTAGACTGGGTAAAATGAATTGGCAAAAGCTAAGCTGAATTTCAAATGAACTATGGTTACCAGTGGACTTTCTGCTGGCTAGATACATGCTTGGTAATGAGTGGGGCCCAAAGACTGAGACACCTCTCAGTAGGGCGATTCTTCTCTCTGGACACAGACAGGAACACAGCAGACAGGAGAATGTACCTTTACTGCCTGAGCCAGGCTTGTTCTGTAGATATATGGATGCTTGGAATCTCCAGAGCCCTGAATGTCTGGCACCTCTTACCAACATTAAATACGCTTAATTAAAAATAAATTTTAAATGGCACTCAGAAATGAGTCTTTAGAGCCCAAACTTTTAACTTAGAGAGGAATTGTTTTCCTCTGCAAATGATGATGCTAAAATGAGACCATTTTGAGAAAAACGAATTTTTTTTTTCTATGCCTATAAAGTTGACTATGGAGACTCATTCAGAACTGCAGCTGTGAAGATGACGTGACTGTGACATTTATGTCGTCTTATAAATGAATGCATGAAAATGTCTCAGGAAGGCTGTATAATCTCCAAAGTTTCAAGTTATAGGAGGGTCCCACTTTTAAAATCAATTTCTTTTTCTTCTTCTTTTCTTTTGGTTTGGTTTTTTGAGACAGGGTTTCTCTGTGTAGCCCTGGCTGTTCTGGAACTCACTCTGTAGACCAGGCTGGCCTCGAACTCAGAGATCTCACTGCCTCTGACTCCTAAATGTGGGATTAAAGGTATGGGCTACTGGGAGGTGGAGAGATGGCTTAGTGGTTAAGAGCACTGATTGTTCTCTCAGAGAACCCAGGTTCAATTCCCAGCACCCATATGGCAGCTCACAACTGTCTGTAACTCCAAGATCTAACACCCTCACATACAGAATGTGATATAGATTGTTTTGAACCTAATGTTTATCCCCATTTTCTCAATTACAAATAAATACAATATAACTTGTGTTCAAAAAAAAAAAGGTGTGGGCTATCATACCTGGCTTCAACTTCTCTTTCTTAAAAAACAAAATTACAAAATAAAAAAAAATTTTTAAAGGAAATTTCATAAATGACTAAGGACTGTCATCCACATAAACAGGGAAATCCATGGAAATATTTAGTACCTACCAAAGACTAAGGACTGTCAAATCTTGTACATTCATCTCCAAAAAGGGAAAAATCCATGAAAATCGCTTTAGTGTCTATGCAATTAAAAATTGAAAATATATAAGGAAACACCATACATTGTTTATTGTGTGGCACACCATTTGAAGCAAAACAGTAGCAGCAACCTACTTCCCAAGTGCTGGGATTAAAGGCATGTGCCACTACTGCCCGGCCCAAACTAAGTAAATATTAAGAATGTATTGTTCAGGCACATAAATGAACAATAGAAAATATTATAAAAAGTGAAGTAACCGCCTCATCCTTTGGTCATGGGACAAGAATGCAGTATAAGGAAACAGAACACAGAAGTTACCTTCTAGTTGCTGAGAAACTAGAGTGGGTTGTGGGTTTACTACATAAACATATTTTATAACCTACAAAGATGCTTTGTAGGTCAAGAACAATCAAATATTGGTTGTTCCACACAGTGCAATTAATGCATACCAACAATTTATTAATAAAAAGGGAAAAATGAATAGATTGGGCAAAATATACATATTCCCAGGCAACCAAAGGAATATTCTATGTATGAGAATGGAAAGGATATTTTAAAAGCATAAACTAATGTCTGGATATTTTACACGTGGTATTTCATATGATGTTTCCTATTTCATCTTAACTGCCACCTTACAGAGAGGACTCTTCTACCTGCATAGGCAAAGAAGGGGAATACATGTATCATCATTGTTAAAGAGTATTTGTTTTATATAAGTAATTGCAAAGGGTTAACAGAAGCTGAAAATTTTCACAAAGATTTTCTATGGCCCAAATTATTAAGGAGAAAATTAAAAATATAATTTAAACATGCTTTGTATGTTCTCTTGTTCATTACCAAAGTAAATACTCTCTATTAAGAAAACTTGGGAGAGCCCTTGCTCTCTTGGGTGAACGGCATTCAGCTCCACTCAGTCCAGCACAGCAGACAAGAAGTGAGAAATGGAGAGCTGACATGGCCTTGACATTAATTTGCTGTACAATGTTAGGAAAAATTACCTGACCTCCTGAGGCACTGCTTCTCCCCGTGTAACAAGAAATGAAGAAAACAGAACTAGCCTAGCTCAAAGGATTGTGATAAGGGATGATTCAAGAAATGCTTAGAAAACATTTAAGTATGTTAATTAAACAAATTCAACTTGGAAGAATTATATTTCCTAATAGACAAAACTCATCGAGAACTGAAAGGGAACCCCATGTGGCACATTACAAACAAGACCACCCACCTGGTACTTTCAGTTTACAATCCATCTCACTTAAGCATTCAGTAGCAGTAATACCACTGAAATAAAGGCCAAACAGGCACAAGCATGGTTCTGTCTTTCACTTTCCAATTCCCTGTGACCTCTAAGAGCACCAAGAATCTTTGAAGCAGCTGCACTTAGTGCACATTGGGATGGCAAAGAAGTGTCTGGGCACAGACTAAGGGAACAATGCAGTACTGTGGGTACTTGCAACTAAATTCCCATGTGGCTATCGTTTCATAAAAACCTCTAATTAGAAAATAATGAAAACAGCAAAACATAAAATATAAGCAGAAATTAAAATAAACTTGTGCCACTGATACATGGGAAACAGGTCAAAGGAATAGGACTTACATGGAAAATGGTCTAGCTGTGAAAAGTGCTAAGAACTGGGATGAATTGCAGACATTTTAAAAACCCACACATCCAATACACACCCCCACGCAACTGTCTTGCAGTGTTGAATGCTACTAAGTCCACAGAGAGCCTTGGAACAGGAACGAGTCTCACTAGGCACAAGACCAAGTACGAGAAGCAACACTCAGCACCTGTGGCCAACTGGGAAGTGTGAGCGGAACAGATGGCACACCTGGTTCTATGGCGAGAAACCACGGCATCAGCAGAACCCAGCAGACGTTTCTCCGTTCAACATCTCCTCGTTTCCAACGTGTCATCTCACTTCCCTTCTAAGTCAGTAAGGCAAATCTAAACTTAACCACAGGATTTCTCCTGAGAGAATTTCATATGGGGAAGTGAGGAGAGACTGCTGGAACTCAGCCTTAGACCTAACCACAGGATAAGAGTAACCAAGTGAGGGCAGGCCAAACAGTTTCTAAATCACAGATTAAATCCAGGGGTCAGAGCACTGGAACAGTATGGAGAAAGAGGAAGCAGCACACTACAAAAGGATGAACCCACTTGAAAATGCTGCAATGCAGGTCACAGCACTGCCTAAAATGCCAGAGGGAATAGTTAGAGAAGATTCTCTTCAGAGAGAAGCTTGAAGACTGGCTTTCATTTCCAACAAAATTAGAATTTTTCACTGTCTTACAGTTTTTTTCTTGAGATACAAGTCTTCAGCACTCGGGAGGCTAAACAGGATGACAGGGGTTAGCTTGAGGCCAGCTTGGACCACAAAGATACCTGCTTTTAAAAAACCAAAAGGGAAAAAAAGACCACCCATAAATCCCTAGGATAGGCAACAGGGAAAGACTGAAACTGATGCTGTTGATACCTCAAACAAAGCCATATAGTTAATTCTTATTGTTCTACTCAGGCAAGTGAGTGTAACCTGCAACTAGCAGGACTTACATGAAATTCACATTTCAAGTTCATTAAACATAAAAGTGCCACATTTCACATATTTATACAGATACTGATACTCTACCATTTCTTTCAGATACTCTGCAATTAAAATGGAGCAGGAATGGCTATTATGCAAACTAATTTTACCTTTTCAGTGTACAAAGTTTTCTAATCATTAGCAATTATTTGTTGTAATCCACAAGCCTGCTACTGCTGGCCATGCTTCTTTCACGAAAGGGCAAGAGTCCTAAGGGATAGTTCTTGGACTACACAGGTATGCTATGCTTTTGGAAGCGTCATTAACTCACAATGCAAACCTATTTGATGAGCTAGCTGGCATTGGGACGCCTGCCTGCACTCTGCCTCATCAAGTACTGCTTCGCTTTTCCGGAAGCAGTTCCCTGACTATGAGAAATACAGGGACAGGAATACTACAGTTTACTGGGCAGAAATTTTATTTATTTATCCCAAGTTTCATACATTTCTAAATATATGGAAAATGGCATGAAATGATTCCTTACAATATACAGTAACCATTTTAATAAGCCCCTTTCAATTGGATCCTGGGTCAAGGAATTTTTCTAAGCTTTTCCAAAGGCTCTTAGGCCTCTGGTGAGAGACAATGGCCCTTCAACCTGTGACAGGTGACTCTCCCCCTCTAAGCTACAAGTTTTCACAGCTTTCACCCTAGAAAAAGTGGCCCCTCACTTTCCTATTTCATAATGATCTCTGCAAGATAAACCATGAACACTTAACTCCTGCAAGGAGCCACCTAGACCAAAGCGCAGACAAACACTAGCCACCTAAGAAGGAGCTGGGGAGTTTAAGGCCCCCCCACCCCATACACATACATTTAGTTGCAGATGCTGGCCACTGCTTAGCTTGAAGTGTCAGCCCTTCTAAATACTATTTGAATCTCCCCACCCCCCAAAAAAGTGAGGATCTTGACTCAAGTAACTCAAAACTGACAGATACAATCTTTGTTCTTATGAACAGTAACAAGTGGAGAGCCCAGGTGCCCAACAACCTTGAAATCATAAGGCAGTTCAATCAGTCACATAAATAACATTTGTACAGAACCACTCCCCTTGGGGATTTTTCTCATTCCACATCCTTGACACAATACAATTAAGTCTACCAATACACATCAGGTCAGGGAATTGCCAGTCTCAAAGCAGGGCAAAAGGACTCACCTCGCAGAAGAGGGTGAGCTTGTCATCAGGGAGAAGCCCATTGGCCTCGTCCAAGAGAAAATCTCTACGAATGAATTTTTTGAATCCCCAGTCTTTGCCTTGCACAAACCTATAAGCTCGCTGACTCTCTGGAATGACAAAGAAAGTCTTATTTAGAGCAGCTCAAATCTACAACTTAGCAGTGCATAAAGTTACTGGATGTGAAAGCAGAGAAACATTTACCCATAGCTTTGGTTTCTTCTCCCTTGGCATTCAGGATGGAGAACTTGAACTTTGCCCGAACTTCACTCTTTGGACAGCTGACCAATAACAGGTAAAGTGACAGGTAATCTTTGCTTTCTTCATCTAGCCCTTTTGGATTTACTCGCAAACACCTGCCCAACACAGAAGCAAATGTGGATCAAAAGCCTTATGGCTCCTGAAGTCTAGCAAGGAACATCAGAATCCAGAAGAGAAGTGTTTCTGTTGCTGTTGTTGTTAGGTTTTGTTTTTTATAGTCTAAGTCCCTTACCAGGAGACTGATTCAATAGAAACTGGAAAACAACTTTTCTACACCAATTTGGATCAGCTTTTTAAAAATAGACAAAAATAAAAGGGCATCCACATCCCTTACATCTCTGCCATTTCTTTTAAAATTGTCAAATCATTTACCTATTTTACTTAAAACATTAAAAAAATTTTCAGACTAGTCTCTTTTTCATTCTTCAATCTCAGAAAAGATAGTCCTTAGTTTCTCATGAAGAAATAATCTTTTAGAAAGTAATAGAGACTTTTAGTAACACTGTGGAAGAAAACTGTATTCTGAAGATGTATCCACAATAGTACATACTCTTTTTTTGTTTGTTTGCTTTTCTAAACAGGGTTTCTCTGTGTTCACAGCCCTGGCTGTCCTGGAACTCACTATGTATACCAGACTGGCTTTGAACTCACAGAGATTGGCCTACTTCTGACTCCCCGAGTACTGGGATTAAAGGCATGTGTCACCACGCCTGGCCGATGCATACTCTTTTATAGATATTTTATCGTGTGTGTGTGTGTGTGTGTGTGTGTGTGTGTGTGTGATGACTGTAGTGGTCAAAGGCATGGGACCCCTCTAGAGCTGGAGTCTGGTGGTTGTGAGCCATTCAGTGTGTGTGCCAGGAACCAAACTCAGGTCCTCTGCAAGAGAAGCAAGTACTCTTACCTTCTGAGCCTCCAGCAATTGTATTTTAAGATTTAAAATAACAGAGGCATTGTGGAAGAAGGAGAGATAAAAGTAAAATTCTTATTTGACAGGGTAATGTTCTTAGCTTGGCTTCTAAATAAGAGTCTGAGATGGCAATCTGTTAAGGATGATTCAAAACAGAATTTAGACAGAACTTAATAGGTTCAACTGAGTTAAGCTGTAAATGTCATTAGCTGGAATGCATGTAGTTCAGACACTGCTCTACCACATAGAATACATAAGCCACATGTATCTTCAGGCCTTGCCAGGGTTATGTCACCTTTCTCAAACAGGTGGCAGTACAATTCAGTGTCTCTCTAGGGAGTACAGATGCCGAATATACAATATGCTTAAGAGGTTTAAATATAATGCCTAGAATAAACATCAGCAAAAATTACATTAATAAACTCTTCAATGGGTTATCAGAAATCCAAGTGGTAGTTCAGAAACATAAATATTTTGATCTTTGCTGAGGACATATGGTTTTATCCTTAACTACCTTCTCTTATCCCTGACAATGACAGTTGGTTTCAATTACACTCATCCTCACTCCCAGTCACCTTGCAACAGGTACTAGTTCAGGGACGGTAGATTTAATCCATTCAGTGCATGGATGACATACTCTTCACTATACAATAAATTCAGAGAAAGCACAAAGACTTGTTGGCATGAGGCAGATATACCCATTGTTACTTCAAGCATAGGGAAGCATGGAACATGAGCACATGAAATGAGATCTGCAAGTAGCAATGTGCCTCCTGGATGAAACTTATCTCCACCCTGTCAGTAACAAAGCCAGATAAATTTCCGTTATTGCTTAAAAGTAAGCTATTATTGTTAGAGACAGGACTTCATGTGGTGTGGGCTGACCTCATACTCCCTATATAGTAAGGACAACCTGGAACTATTGACTTGCTCTCCTTTGAGAAAGTCTCACTATGTAACCCTGGCTAGCCTGGAACTTGCTATGTAGACCAGGTTGACACTGAATTCATAGACCCACCTGCCTCTGCCTCCTGAGTGTGGGGATGAAAAGTGGATGTCAGCAGACCCAGCTTAACCTTGAACTCTTTTTTTTTTTTTTTTTTTTTTTTTTTTTTTGAGACAGGGTTTCTCTGTGTGGCTTTGGCTATCCCTGAACTTGCTCTGTAGACCAAACTAGCCTTGAACTCACAGAGATCTGCCTGACGCCTCTGCCTCCTGAGTGCTGGGATTAAAGGTGTAGGCCACCACCACTACCACCCGGCCTAACCTTGAACCTCTACCTCTGAGCTGTGGGATTTCAGGTATCTACCACCAAGCCCAGTTTATGAGTTCTGGGGATGGGATCTAAGTCTTTGTGTATATGCAGGCAATTTAAAAGTCAAGATTTTATGTTAAAAAACTTAACATTTGTCGTTGCATGTGATGGCACACGATTTTAATCTTAGCACCCAAGAAGCAGAGGCAGGTGGATCTTTGTGAGTTCAAGGCCAGTTTGGTCTACATGCTAAGTTTCAGGCCAGTCAACACTACTTAATGAGACCACATCTCCAAACAAACAAAAAGAAACCCACAAAAATTAGGCTTGTTGCTTTTCTTGAAAAAAAAAAAAAAAAAACAGAAAATTTGGTGATAGTAGGCCCTTCTCCACACATTGCTCTAGTTAGCTGAGCTGGGTAGCTACCAGCCTTCATATACTTACTGCAGTACCAAGAACTAACCCTAGAACTTCACACATGCTAGGTGAACACTTTTCTGCTGAGCTACATCCCCAGCCTTTTAAAAAAATTTAAATTACACTTATTAATTTCTTGTGTGTATGTGTGTATGTATGTATGTGTGTGTGTGTCTGTGGGAGGACCATGAGTGCCATGGTTCTGGTGTGGAGGTCAGAGGACAACTTGCAGAAATCAGTTCTTTTCCTTCCACTATAGTAACACTGGTCCTCTCTTTTCTTTCTTTCTTTCTTTTTCAAGTCATGGTTTCTTTATGTGGCCCTGGCTGTCCTGGAGCTCAAGTGCTGGTAATAAAGGAGTGAGCAATCACTGCCCAGCCTATTTATTCATTTATTTTACCCTATACAACTTGAGTTTGCTAAATTGTAATGAAGTCTTTAAAATATTTCTACCACTTATTAGTGAGTACCTACTGTTTCTGACACTATTGTAGGCAAAGGTGATAAGAAAAGTAAAGTCCCTGCCTTTAAGAACTTACATTCTGCCTATATCCTATGCAAACCAAGCAAAATAAGCAACTTTGGAACAAGTTTACAACTAGAAGTGTTCTTCCTTACCATTTCAGTTTATCATTGGCTCCTGATGAAAAAGTTGAACTTTTTATGACTTCACCCATTTCCTCCCGGCAAAAACTAAAGTTATTGATGGTCCACATGTAGGAGAATTTCACTACCTTGATCTGTTGACAGAAAATTAGGAAGGAATTAAATAAGAGGTGGGGAACCTGGAAAAAACAGGCTAACGGTCAAACACTCTCCCTTATCCCCACAGGTAGACAGCAGTTCATTAAGTCCCTCGATTACATTAGAGAAATCTCAGTGACCTACTGCTTTTATGTTTTCGACTTCTAAAAAAACTGGCTGGAAGTGAGAAAAACACACACAGTCAAGGAAAGGATAGCAACAATAACAACAAACATGGGCAGGTTAGGAAAAGTCTGAAACTCTGTGGTTCTAGCAGAGTCTGTAACTGAGATGCTGTTGGCATTCCTGGGGCTGTGAATCTAACACTGTTCTGAGCTTTAGAATACACTCCTATCAAGAAAGGTGTAAAAAAAAGAAAAATCTAGACAAAATCTCTGTGAGTTCAAGTCCAGCCTGGTCTACAAATTGAGTTCAAGGATAGCCGGAGCTGTTCACAGAGAAACCCTGTCTCAAAACAAAAACAAAAATCTAGCCAAAGATTCCCCCTTCAATCACTATAGAAAAGCACTATCCTTGGGGATCCTGAATCTACGTAAGAAAAACAAGAAATGCAAGGCTAACAAGGACCTCATCTTGTGCAATTTTTGCAATTATGCCCCCACAAACTCAGAGTTGAAAAGTGATTGTGTTGCTCTGCCTACTAGTGAAAACATGAACTTACCTGTGTATAGCACCAGCTCTCAGCCACGGGACCACTCGACATTTCTGCCGGAGGTGGAGGACTTGGAACCCTTGACATCGCCAGTTTGAAGGTTAAGCTGGGTTTCCAAAGTCAGGGGGGCAAAGATTTCTGGTTTTTCTTTACCCTGGTAAGAACCAAGAATTAAGACTTATTAGAGTTTTTTTTTTTTTTTTATTTCTTTTTCTTCTTTTTTTTGGTTTTCAAGACAGGGTTTCTCTGTGGCTTTGGAGGCTGTCCTGGGACTAGCTCTTGTAGACCAGGCTGGTCTCGAACTCACAGAGATCTGCCTGTCTCTGCCTCCCGAGTACTGGGACTAAAGGCGTGCACCACCACTGCCCGGCTTTTTTATTATTTTTAATGTTAATCACATTTTTGTTTTTTCTGAGACAGGGTTTCTCTATGTAGTTTTGGAGGCTGTCTTAGAACTCACTCAGTAGAGCAGGCTGGCCTTGAACTCACAGAGATCTGCCTGCCTCTGCCTTCGAAGTGCTGGGATTAAAGGTGTGCTCCACCACTGCCCGGCTAATCTCAATTTTTTTATTCTTCTCTCATACATTACATCCTAGGCAAAATTACATTATTGTCCAGGCATGGAAGCTTAATTTTTTTAATCTCAGCACTCAGGAGGCAGAGGCAGGTGGATCTCTGAATTAGAGACCTATACAGCAAGTTTCAGGCCAGCCAGGACTACACGAGATCCTGTCTCAAATAAATGAACTGAATGAAGGAATAAATAAATAAATAAAAATTCAATTTCTCTTCTGCATAATATTCAACATTATCTTTAAAAACTGCTGGGCAGGGTGTCACATACAACTTTCTTTCTAGCATTCTAGAAACAGGCTGGTAGCTCTCTTGAATTTTAGGCCAACCTAGTCTACAAAGCCAGTATCAAGCCAACATGAGTTGCATAGTGAAAGAACAGAAAAAGAGAATGTAATCAAAGGGTATATTAAAGCACATTTCTGAAAAGGTTGCTTGACAAAAAGTCAACATGGCTAACACTACATACTTCCTTGCCACCTTCCCTTAGAACTGCTGCCGTGGAAAATGACCTTGGTACCCCTACCCTCCAATTTTCCTGATTGCCTGTGCTTCACTGCAAACTTAAGAGCAGCCTTCTGTTCAACTCCTCTGCCAGCTGTTCTCTTAAAGGGCAACATTTTTACACCTCCCTTAGATGTGTTCCTTTCTCTACAACATCACATCAAATTTTCACCTGACTTTCTAGATTTTTCTTGCTTTCTCTGCTAATCACTCTTCAACCTCAACCCCAATCCCCGCCCCCCCTCACCTCTTCTCTTGACAGGGTCTCTCTATTATGTAGAACTTTGTAAATCAAACTACCTGGATCTGCCCTCTGCCTCCCAGGTACTGGTATTAAAGGTGTGTGCCACCACGTCTGGCCTTCCTCGATTTCTTTTATTGGATTTTTCTCTTTTACTGTTATTCCCCATGGTTTAATTTTCAACCATTTTCTCAATTTACATTCTTATGGCAACCAATCATTTCAACAGTATCAAATTTCTATCAGTACACAAACATTCTCAAATCTCTTTAACATATACCTCTTTTATAGCCCCAGGCCTTTTTCAAATACCTCTATACATCTTGATGGGATGTACACTAATAAATTAAATCAACTCAAATTATTTTTAAAAATTTAGGTCATGGACCAGTATGATCAGCAGATAAAGGTGCTTGCTACCAAGCCTGTTGACGTGAGTTTAAGCTCTGGAATCCACGAGGTAGAAGGGAATAACTAAGTCCTACAAATTGTCCTTTTATGCCATGGCACATGCATGATATCCCAACAAAATAAACAACATAAATATAATAAAATTGTTAAGAATGTAAGGCCTGTATCTTAGCACTTGAAATTCAGAAGCAGCAAATCTCTGTGAGTATAAGACTAGCTTGGTCTACATAAGAGTTCTAGGCCAGTCAGAACTGAGATCCTGTCTCTCAAAAACCAAAACAGAACAGAACAAAACAACAATCAAAAGTAAGTCAAAGGATGCAAAGTTGCAGATACAGGGTAGACATAGAAACTCTTTCCTACTGTTGGTGACACCCTAAAACAAGGTGTATACCATCTGAATAGGAATTTGGTCATATCTAGCAAAGTTGAAGTACACAAACCACAGAACTTAGCATTCCCACTTGAACAGAGTGCACTGTTTGGAAGGCACAGAGTCACCTCTTAAGAAGAATGCTGATCCTACCCCTAAGCAACTACTCCTGGCACCACAGTGAGAACCACTGCCCTAGAGAAAGTCTGCACTTATGCACAAGACATGGACTAGAGTGTCAATGTGACACTCTAACAGTGAAAAGCTAGAAACAAATTAAAAGCCTTTTAGTAAGGAACAGATAAGTAAACTGGGTTATTTCCATGTAATGGAAAATAAGTTTTAGGGTTTAAAATAATAAGTAGATCTGTAACTGCACGGTTCTCAAACACTGTGGAATGTAAAAAACAAGTTTTTGAAAAATAAGTGCAGTTGTTATTTCTACAAATATAAGTACTGGTACAGATAAAAGTACACTGTTGAAACAAAAACGAGAATGATAAAAACATGGTAAGGTCGGGTGTTGATGGCCCACGCCTTTAATTCCAGCACTCGGGAGGCAGAGGCAGGTGGATCTCTGTGAGTTCGAGACCAGCCTGGTCTACAAGAGCTAGTTCCAGGATAGGCTCCAAAGCCACAGAGAAGCCCTGACTCGAAAAACCAAAAAAAAAAAAGAAAGAAGAAAAAGATTCAGCTAGGCTAGATGTCCAGTATCCCTAAGCTCCAGGGATCTTTCTGGATCTCTGCCTTCCCAGTGCTGGGATTACAGACATGTACCACCATGCATGGATTTTCATGGGTGCTGGGGATCAGAACTCAGGCCTTCATGTTTACGGCATGTTTATCACCTGAGACGTCTCCCAAGTATTTTTTCAGTCTGCCTCAAATTCTAGGTAGAGGATGGTACAAATGAATAACAGCAAAATCATTCAGTAGTAACTCAAGTCACAAACATTTGCTTAAGTAGCATTGGCAGGATCAATAATATATATCTGTACTTATCCAGAATAAAAATATTTGTGAGCGTAATTAAATGTTCCATTGGTCATAACACTGCCCTAGAACATTTATCACTAAAGTACCATCACAGATGAAGTTAGCCATCTTACACATGGCATGCTGTTTCAAACCAGTGCATTCACCGGCTTGTACAAATCATAACACCCAGTCTCACAGGCTTGTTTGTCTAGTAACAAAGTTAATATACCTTAGGCAGTTTTACAAAGCCCAGTTATCACTGCTGCCTAGAATGAAGTTGCAGATTTCCTACTTCTAGGCAGCACAGCAATAAAGATGTGAATTTTACATGTGAGTTAAGAGCTTAAACCCTGGCTTGTGAGGCATGTGTTGGAGGCTTCACTCCACAATGAGTCATCACAAAATACTGATCTGAGCCTATTTTGAAGTTTTTTTTAACCTTCAAATTCATCTAACAATGAAAAATTTACAGGGCTAGGGATGTAGCTGAGTGGTAGAGTTCTTGCTTAGCCCCATGTTCAACACCCATTACTTCAACAACTACAAATTTTAAAAGTCTAGCAAAAAGACATGCATTTTTTTCTAATGACATTCTGTTAATTCCTTAAGTTTCTTTCCACTGAGTACTACTTCATTATGACCAGGAATAAAAAAAAAAAAATACTATTTTATTGGGATTGGGCAAGTGTGTGTTTGAATGGCTACTTTAATCTAGCAGTATGATGTTTTTATTTGTTTATTACAACAAAGTGATTTTATTTAAATAATTAAAAATGTTTTAAAAAAGAAATGCTATTTTGGTCTTGGCCATTTTTCTCCCTTTTTCCCCTTTTTCTTTTGACTTGTTTTATAACCAAGTCTTTCTTTGATCTAATCTTTCTTTCTTTCTTTCTTTCTTTCTTTCTTTCTTTCTTTCTTTCTTTCTTTCTTTCTTTCTTTCAATGCCCAACCCAGCACCTAGGAGAACTGGAGACTCAATCTCAGCTCTGAGAAGCTCTAACCAGACAACCTGCTGGGAGGGAAATTGACTGGGATGGCAGAAGTCTAATTAATTTCACTCATAGTGGGCACCATGGGCAAAGTGTTCATCAGTAAAGTAACCTGGTGCTCTATGAACTCTTCAGCACTTCATGCCAAGTGCTTCAGAAGCTCAGCAAAAACAATCTTGGGAAAGAAGAGATCTATCTGAGGGTCATCGTTTGAGAATGTTTGAAAGAGACCACTAGAGCCAAAATATATTGTTCAAGACTTCAAACAAGTTAGGACTTGACCATCCAAGTTCTCTAAGGAGAAAATTACTTCCCCAAGCTTACCAAACTCTAGTGCACTGACAACTCTAGGTTGAGAATGCCTTTATGTACCACCATTATTTTCCTGATGACTCTGTAAAACTGACTTGTAAGAAAAGACCTTCCTGGATTACACAGAAAAAACAAAAACAAAAACAAACGCATTTCAGTATATTCTTCTCAACTCTAATCCTGGAAGCAGTGTTAGTAGCTACTGGCCTTCTCTGATGGGATGCTGCCTAGCAGCACTGTAAGACCCAGAAATTACTAACCGTCTTTTGACAGGGATTTAAGTCAATAACTATCATACAACTTCTAACTAGAAGGTTAAACTGTGGAAGGTATGATGTAGGTAAAAGGTATTTCGTAAAAATAATCTTTGAACTGAGTCTATACAGTTCACTTCTCAGCTGAACCACCTCTTCCTGCCTTCTTATACACTTGCAAACATCCAGTTGCCTGCAGCAGGTTTTAAAGTTAGTTAAACATAATTTGTGTCTGTTCTTTGTATCCATTCCTGTATCATCTAACACAGTGCCTAGAAACAAAGGTGTTATTCACTCAGTAAAAATACTTTTCTGTTGTGGCTGGGCATTGGTGGCCCACGCCTTTAATCCCAGCACTCAAGAGGCAGAGGCATGCGGATCCTCTGTGAGTTTGGAGGCCAGCCTGGTCTCCAGAGCAAGTGCCAGGATAAAAAACTTTTCTGTTGTGTTGTTCCTTTTTTGACAGATTTCTAAAACAGGCTTTCAAACAACGCTGAGTACATCAGATGTGCAATGCAA